AAGANAGGGGGGGGGGGGGAAGAGAAGTAGAGGTAAATTGAACCGAACAGCTACTCAACTGATAATATAATAATAATAATAATACGGTTATTTTCCATAGCTTATGAAAAAAAAATGAGTAAAAAAAGGCATTGATCCGATGATGGTGAAGATTTAAAGCATAGAAGCAATCGTTTATTCACTTTTTGAGGAGGAAAATATAAAAGGGAAAGGCAAAGAAAGAAAAAGAAGACCTTTTTGATGATTTAATTTGTTTTACTCATATATATCCATGGAGCTGGAAAATAGTTGAAAAATGAAAGCTCGTCAGAAAGATTACACTTACCATGTAATCAATAAACTTGAAGCACGCACTAATGATGGAATAATGTCAGCGTAGATTTCATAGTGAGTCCTATTATCTATATGAGAAGGTTCGTCCGTAGAGATCTTCCCCTACTCATCTCTCCTATGAGCACTGGTGTGAATTATAGCGCCGCTAATGAGGTCTCACTAATTTTATTTTTGTGGGATATGCTCAAAAAAAAATCCATAGGAATCACTACTGGGATAATATTAGGGTTCATTTCAATGTTATGCATATTTAGTGATGCACACGGATAAAATTATAGGCTATAGTTGTCAATTAAGCGTTTAATTTATTGAATACTAATCCTATTGGTTTGTTCTTCTTCAAGTCTCTCAACGCACCGAACAGGACGACTTTCTTTACAAATAATTGCAGTTGAAGACTGCAATTATTAGCATGTAACTAAAACTCTGGAATGTAAAAAAGTGGAAAAGGTCAGTGTAATATGCCGGGTATCACACCTTGAATAAAGCTAAACTTGCTTATATTAGTAAAAGTGTGGCTTTAGCATTACCTAATCTAGTTGTGGCTTTGGAAATTAGGACAGGAAAAGGACGAAAATGAAAAGCGATGTTTTCACTTAGAAAGAAACACTACTTATCCTTTTAAAATCACAAACAACAATCGCGCCGAAATATTTCCTTGAATAATGATAAAGATTTATTGATTAAGATCTTTATTTAGTTCTTTTAAGCGAAACACATTATTATTAATTAGCGGATAAAGCCATCCCAACTCGTAAACACAGAGAACACATAGAAAAAGGATGATATTCAAAAATCCACGCATGTCTATACGCATATATCGATATATGTAAGTTTCTAAACACCAAGACACCCATCCCTCAGCTCTTAAGCCTCACCTTAAAGAATATAATTCGTCACCTTCTGTCGCTCTCCCACGGAAAGAATCGGAAGTGTCGGGGCCATCGCCATAGATTGTACGAAGCCATGCCGCATCGTCGTCCACGGGAAGCCGGGGACGACAACGCAGGAGGGCAAAGAAGCCAAACGAAAGCCCGCCTTCTGCGAGCGTGAGAAAAACGCAAGAAGGGGCTCGCCACCGCGGTCCTTCCCCAGACAAATCCCATGAATCGCCGTCGTCAGGTTCATAAACCCCTTCACGAGGGAAAATCCCCCCCCGTCCCCCGGGGTCGTCCCTTTCCCGTCCTCCTCGTAGAGGCTGACGACCCCACTGGAGGAGCCCAACACGAGCGAACGCGGCCCCCAGGCAAAACTTGTGATGTCCAAAATCGCGTCGTCCTTAAAGGTGGAGACATACGTTGCCGTTTTTCGAATATCGTAGAGCAAAACTTTTCGCCCCGCCGCGATCGCGAGGGTCGTGGCGGAGGGAAAGCAAAGATCGCAAACAGGGTCGTCAAAAGCGAGACCACCGAGGACGCTGGCGGTGCGAAGAGAGGCCAATTTAACCGTCCGCCCGCTCGCGAGGGCGAGCATCGATGTCGACGAATCCCCCGCCCGCACGGCGAGCTTCGTGATGGTGAAATCCTTTTTCGAATGATCCCGCCGGCCATTGCGGTACTCCGCAGTCCCGCGGGTATCCAAAAACCGCAGCGCCGTCAGCCGCTCCGTCGACAAAGAGACGATCTGGGGAATGTAGGAATCCCGGCCGACCACCAACGCCTCCTCACCGGAGCTTGTCAGGCAGGCGCTTTCCACCCGGGCGCCGATCTCCAGCTTGGAAAGTCGCTCGACGAGTTTGCCCGCGGTGTGGAAGATGTAGAGATGGCGATTGCCCCCCACAAGGACGAGCTGGCCGTTGGGGTGCCATTGAATCACCCGCGCGGCGTCCCGGGGGAGGGGCAGGACGGCGCCCACCGCCACCGCCCCCGCGGGAGTCGCCCGACTTTTCGCCTCCAACAACGGCGTCGTGCGGGAGAGGAGCGCGGAGAGGCCGTCCGAACGCGCCCGCTTCCGCCCCGAGGCCCAACCCGCATTTCCTTCGAAATCGCCCTCCGCGGCCTCGTCTTCGGGGGGGCTTTTCCCGTCCCGGGCCGCCCGCGCGGCGTCGGAGAGCGCCCAGGCGGGCAGCGCGGGGGACGGCCGGGGAAGGCTGGGGCCGTCCTGCTCGTCCTCCCACGCCCTCGGCCGCGTCGGCTCGTCAATCCCCTCCATGGACAATCCGAAAAGGGAATAGGGCGATCTCTCGGTCTATCTAGTTCAATAGCTATTAATATAGATATAAGAAAAACAATAACACAAAGACCTATAACTCTAACCTATTCGAGAAATGAAAAATGGGAGGGTCGCAATGCGCAATCGGCTTCACGTCTCATCATTGGCATGGTCGTCCTTCGGGTAACATCAATAAGATAATCAAGTAAAGACGTTTGTTTTTAATGTAATATTGTGTGAAATCTCTAAATTATATACGTACATAACTCTCCCGTCAATCTTATCCTTCTTCGGCATATGATTCCATGTCAGTTCAGTAAGACTAGGCGTATATATCCCGTTTGGAAATAGTAAGATAAAGAGGAAAACGTGGGGATGGAAAATGGATCTCAGAACGGCGTTGCAAGAATCGAAAAAGGAATATGCTCATGGAGAGATAGGAGAAAAATAAAATAAAGCGGTGCGTGGTACAACTTTTCCGATTATAAGATAGATGTTGTTGTAATTTCAATCAATTCTTGAGGATTTGCTATCTCTTTATCACCACATTGCTCGATGTAATCCTTTTGATGTGCTTTATTTATTCGACCATGAGATTCCTTCTGCACGGTATCCGCAATCATCCGCCGGAGCTTCGAAAAGATACCGTTGTCTGAAAATACCTTTTCCTCATCCTCACAAAGGCGAACTTCCGAATAAATGGCGCGATTTTTGATAATAGTTGCTGTAGAAGGCCATTGCCGTCCCCATTTTCCTATAAGATCAACATAATCATAATAAATCTCGTCAACGGGCACCTCCCTTTTGGCAGCTGCCCAACACATACAAATGGACTCTTGCACGGCTGCGGGATATAAAGAAGGTGTGGAATTGGAAGAAAACAATAATGGCGAAAATGTACACGCCATCTCTAACTCTACAAAGCTCTTCAACGAGTTCAACTTCAGGCAGACCTCAGTCAAAAGGCTAGCAGAAGGCATCGGATTGGAATCTTCCTGAACAGTGGTTTCTAATTGATTATTTTTTACATCAGAGGAATAAAAAGCTTCTGAGGTGGAAAGTGCATCTCGCACTACCCCCCGCACGATAACTTGCTCAAAAAGCATGCGTTGGAGATGAAGCTTAAGGCAGCTTCGGTGAAACGTCTCCATCCTCGCGGAGGGTAGGACGCCCTGCAGGGAAAGGAGTTCCTTTTGCTGGCGTTGAAGACACTCCTCCTGCGCAGAGAGCAGTGAATAGAGCGCAAGGAAGGACTTTTGGACATTTTGAACGCGCACGCGGAGCGTTTCCGCGGAAGTTGCTAATTCATACCCAAACAAAGGCAGCGCCTTGGTGGAAACTAAATTGAAATGCCTAGAGGGGTCGGTAGGGTCTAAAGAACCCCCTTGTGAGGTGCAAAGCGTCTTCCAGCATGAGGAATCCGCCCCACCGCGTAGGGTCTGCTTGAATGGGATCACTAAACCCTCTGAAAAGCGAGAAGGAGCGGGAACTGAGGCCGAAATGGCTGCGGCCTCTGGGAGCATCTTTGCAGGGAATCAGAGAGAACTAGGTTAAATCAATAAAGAATAAGAAGAGGGAATTAAAGTATTGGATCTATATAAAAATAAGCTGAGACTTTATAAACCTAAGTGTGCGCCTCTCTTTTGTTTTATCTTTCGACCAAACCCACCTCCTTGCCTCCTGTTGCGTGGTAAGTTACCTGCTCTGTCAATAAATAACTAAAAAAAAATCCTTTGGAAAGGAGTCTAGGAATGAGCGAGCGATTAAATGCATTTTAGAAATAGATAATAATAACAAAAGAGCACAAGCCGCTTCTCTGAGGTTCAATTTCTCTGCATTGATCTACTCATAGTTATATGTAAGTTATGCTTTATTATCAAAACACAACGCATCTATTTCTAAAAATACGGTGTTTACTTTACTATTGTATTCTGCTCACCTTTACAAACTAAACTTAGCATAGAAAACAGATCAGGGAACAGCAACATAATACATAAAAAGATAGTCACTTTCTTTACTAATAAAGAACGAAAGAATATAGATATTATATTTCCCACTGAAAACGTTATAATAACGACAAGTATTCATGAACCTATTCCAAAGTATGAAGGTGATCAAGGAAAATATATAACCGATAGAACCGAAAAAAAATGGAAAACATTGTGAAATCTAACTAAAAATCTCATGTGAAATTTAAAGATGAAAAAAAAGGATGTAAACACTAATAGATATAAATAAGTTAGTATCGAGTAAACAAATCTGCTTCTGTTATCAAAAAGGGGTTTAGAATGGCGAAGACGTTGTTTAAAAATGAATAAAAAACTCGTTCTTCGTTAATTATATATACTAAAATGATAACTTGTTATATTTTTCATATCTACGTGTCTTTTCCCCTTTTGTGAAAATCCCTGTTGTTTTATTTCATCTTAACAAGAGGGAATGAGGAATCTATAGCCTGAGAGTTTTGTCCTCGACAAGTTGTAATAAATCAGAATCACTATGAAGGACGAAATATAAGTGGAGAAAAAAAGGAAAATGGAGAATCAATATATGTATATTTATATAGCTCTTCTTTGTACTCTTTTAATAACTGTAAGAACAGTATTTCAAAGTTAGTATCCGTAAATGATACCTTTATTTACTTATTGGTCGAGGAATTATTCGCATACATGAATAGATAAATGTAAATAGCTACTGGTAGCTAGATATCAGCATGTCAAAAAAAAAAAAGAAAAACTCATATATCTATCACCTTAAATCCTTTCTTAATTTTCATACCACTGTTTCGAATAAAGACTTATTCTTTTCACTGTGCGATAGTGTAATCATGATATCTTATTAAAAGTTTTTTTCCCTCTAATTGGACTTGAATCTTTTCTCTCTCTCTCTCTTCAACAATTAACGTAAATATTTATATAGGTGAATATACATTTAACGTGTTTCATATTTTATAAATGTTTCCCCTCCCTCTTTTTCACACAAATAATATAGTAGAAAAAAGTTATTTTACATCTCCACCAGCTCCATCCAAATTCTAGCTCTAAAGGTCTTGTAGAGGTCGCGCACCAAATCCCTAAAATCGAGCCGTTGCTGCGCTTGGTAGAAAAATGTTAGCTTTTTCTTGTCAAATTGATACTCGGCGTCCATGATGACCATTGAGAGCTCGTGCTCGAGCACCCGCTGAGCGCAAACGTCGATCGCCCGGTGCTCGAGCTCCGTCTGCGTCCCGTGAAGTTGTTGGACTTCCTTTTCTGACGCCAACCGCAGCACCGTCCCGCTGCCCACCCCAATACTACGCGTCAGGGTGCTCCCCGTCAGGCCGATCCCGATTACCGTCTTCCCCCCGCCGCCACTCTTTGAACTAACACTATTATTCCCGATAGGACTCGCGCCGGAGGAGGTGGGCTCGGGATTCGCGGCGGGCTTTCCGTTTTTCTCCGCGCCGTCGTCCGCGTGGGCCGGCTTCCCCCCGAGCAGGGCCTCGCGGATCCCCTTCGCGATCCCCCCTGGGGCCTCGCACCAGGTGTAGGTCACCAGCCCCAGATCCTCCCCCCGATCGCCCCCGACCATGACATAACTCCCAGGGGCCACGTAGCGGTTCGACTCGTACTGCAGGACCCGCTTCCGCTTAAACTCCACGAGGACCTGGCAGATGCGCCGGGGGTCGACGCCGAGGGCGACGGCGTCCTCGGCGGGCCCGTCGGGGATCCCCACGACGACCGGGCGCCCGGCCTGATAAACGGCGCGGCGGCTCGTCGT